GATTTGGGTACCTTTTCTTACATTTCTTTTGTGTTCACAACACACTTACATCAAGGAGGTCTACTTTAATTGATTTAGCATCAGCAGAGGGAGCTGACATGTTATTAATTCTACAAAAAAAATCAATACCTGTACAGCTCATTTCCAACAGTATTATCACATATGCTTCTCTGTTCATGTGAGCAGTCACTGGTTCCAAAGTCCACTTCTGTAAAGCAATCATGGGTTACTTCTGAGGTTACTGTGTCTCACATAACACTGCTATTACATTAAGAGCATGCCATTTCTTTATATCTGCAATGGAATATTGCTTCTCATTTCATAGAGACATAATGTACCACACACTTCAGTATACACCCTTGAGATGATTAATTATGTCTTGGTCTAATGGATGTACATAGTCTAATGGATGCACATCATAGTGCTTGTAGGTCAAAAAATGAAACTCCTTTATGGAGTTTACAATTCCAGTATTTGACTTCATGGAAATTTTCACCTTAATATGTAATAAATATGTTCCTCCATACGAACTCATCTGTCCTTCTCAAATCTTTTAAAGAATTTTGGTGGGAAATAAGATTTCATAGGCAACATTTTGGGGACAGCTGTTTTGCACAGAGTAGTTGTTCCCAAAATGTGGTCCAAAGACCCCTGGTATCTCCCATACGCTTTCAGGCAATCAGTGAAGTAAAAAAAAAAAATTTTTTTTTTGTAATACTAAGATATTAAATGCCTTTTTCACTGTGTTGAAATTTGTATTGATGATACATAAACAATAGTGGGTAAAACTTCTGGTCCGTTAATAAATGAAGGCAATGGTGACAGACTGTAGTAGCATTCTTATTCTTCACTGCAACACTCATGCAGTTAAAAAATTGTTTATTAAAGCAGTAAATACTATTGATTTTATTAAATACTTACCCTTATATATCTTTTTAATGTTTTGTGGGAAAAAAATATGAACAAATAAAGTCCCTTGGCAGAATACTGAAGGGTGATATCTTTTTTGAAAAAAACCCCTAGTATGATTCCCTAGCATGTCAATTTTAATAGAAAAAATGATCGACAAACTATGGTTATCCAGATGTGGACATTTGACAGTATTTGTTGCAAATGATACAATTTGAGCTTTAAGCAAACATAAGAATTTTGGAAAAATTCTACCATCATCAGCTTGATTGCTGCCCAGTAATTAAACTTTTTTTGCTGAGCTTGATGGTGATATTAATAAAGGTGACTTTTTGATATTTTATAATGAAACTTGTCAATATTTGGAAGATATGCATAACTCACCTCTTTTTTAAGAGGAAAAAATGGATTATCTTGTTATTCTCTTTATAGAGAATTATATTACAAAATTGTCATATGAAGAGACATTCAAAAAGTGTGCAGCCAAAAATATAGGAAAAAGTATATACAGAATTATAGAGGTATGTTAAGACAGTTGCTTGATAAAAATCTTTTTTTTTATTTTGAGTTTTTAAAATGTTGAGATTGTAAAGCATTTTTTGTTGTTTTAACTTTTTGTTTTGAGTTAACTGTAGATTCACATGCAGTTGTAATAATACAGAGGGCTCCTGTATACCCATCAATCATTTTCCCCCAGTATTAATATCTTACGTAACTATAGTGGAGCCCTGGCGGCTCAGTGGTTAAGAACTCAAGCTGCTAACCAAAAGATCAGCAGTTCAAATCCACCAGCCGCTCCTTGGAAACCCTGTGGGACAGTTCTACTCTGTCCTATAGAGTCACTTTGAGTTGGAATCCACTTGAAGGCAACAGGTTTACATAACTAAAGTACAATATCACAACCAGGAAATTGACATTGATACTGTCATTGATACTGTGCATTCACTTTATTCAGATTCCACCAGTTACATGGATGTGTATGTATTTAGTTCTGTGCACTTTTATCATATGTAGATTCATGTGACCACCACCATAATCAAGATACAGAACAGTTTCATCAGAAGGATTGCTCATGCTGCCTAAAGAACTTTTTTCACTTAGTAAGGAGCTTAGATTGTATCCTGTAATTCTGTGTCTCTCTAAGTGTGGCCTTCATATCACATGTAACAGAATCACCTAGTATGCTTTTTAAGTATGCAGATTCTAGGGTTCTACCCTAGAAACAGTTAATTAGGATCTCTAGGGGCTATGAGTTGGAATCGACTCTTAAGGCACCTAACAACAACAAGAACAACGAGTATGGCCCAGTGACCTACATTTAAATAAATGGTCCAAATGCTCCTCATACCTACCTCTGAGAAGGTGACATTGAGCTGAAATTTGAATGATAAGAACGCAGCTAATCATGCAAAGGATCCCTGGTGGCATACTGGTTAAGAGCTTGGCTGCTATCCAAAAGGTTGGAAGTTTGAGTCCACCAGCTGCTCTTTGGAGACCCTGTGGGGCAGTCCTACTCTGTCCTATAGGGTCGCTATGGGTCGGAATCGACTTGACGGCAGTGGGTTTGGTTTTTTGGTTTTTGGTTAATTATCCAAAGACCTGGGATGAGGAGGTCCAAACAGGTGCTGTTCAGTAGGGCTCCTTATTTAACTCAGTGTATTAAAAATAGTATTTCAACATATCATTATAAAAATCAAGATATTTTACTTTTTTTTTTGGTACTAAGTCTTCAAAATCCAATGTGTGCCTTATATTCACTGCCCTGGTGGCAGAGTGGTTAAGAGTTCAGCTGCTAACCAAAAAGTTGGTAGTTCGAATCCACCAGCTGCTCCTTGGAAACCCTATGGGGCAGTTCTAGTCTGTCCTGTAGGGTTGGTGTGAGTCGGAATGAACTTGACAGCAATGGGTTTGGTTATTGGTTTGCACATCTCAATTGGACACGCTCGAATGCTCAATAACCACATATGGCTAGTAGTTAACATATAGGATGACACAGGTCTTGACAGAGTGACAGCCAGTACGGAGGCTGTGGGTTCCTGAAAGAAATTCATGTAGAGATGTGCATTTGACACCTGGCAGTTGAAAATATTGGTGTAGAGCTTAGGAAAGAGGTTGGGACTAGGTGCATAGAATTTAAAATTATCGATAGAGAAGAGTTGTCATACAAAAAGTATAGTTTTCAATAAAGATTTATCGGAAACACCTGCAGGGCATTTTCTAACTACACACTTGCATCCCAAAAGAGCATAGAAGAATCGCTGGGGTGCATAGGCCCAGATTACGGAGTTTTCCCAGAGTTTATTCTGATATGACCCCACCCCCTAACCTCCATTCCTAGCTAAGAAGCACTGGTTAAATGGGAGACTGAGGATAAAAGAAGCCAAGAAGGGTATAAAGAGGTGAGAGGAGTGTTGAAGATGTTAAGTAAAGGGAGGGCCTCAGCAATGAAGAAAGGTATGTTGATTATGAGAAGGGCAGGACATGTGCAAATTAAGAGACTCTTGATGATCATTGAGGATATGATTTAAATAGAGTGGTCAGCTGGGCTAAGATGTGTTCTGGAGATGAGTAATGTAGACAGAACTAGTGCTTACCTGCTAGGAGGTCAGAGCTAGACTGGCTACAAGAGGAACTTGGCTGCTGCCTTCCAGCAAGTGGTAGGTGACGAGTTGATTTGCGACTCATAATGACCCCATGTGACAGGGTAGAACTGCTCCATAGGGTTTTCTTGGTTCTTACAGGAGCAGATCACCAGGTTAGTATCCAAGTGCTTAACTATTGCTTCGCCAGGACTCAGTTATTAAATACACTATGCCTGTTTTGGAATCCTTGCATATTAGTGTGAAATTATTATCCCAAGTTGGTCTAAATCAAAGTATTGACATACAATTTCAGGTTTAAAAATAGACTAAGAAATTGGTGGAGCTGTTCTCTGAGTCTTATTGTTTGACTACATATGCCACAAGTTAGGTAGTAGAGTCTAGTTAATTATTCCTCCGAGTACAATATAAAGGAGAAATTGTTGGTATTCAGGATAAAGGATTTTTACTGTCAATTTAAAGTAAGCACTTTTAGTTTACACAGAATTAACTACAACTTAGTGAATTCTGTTACATTTAAATTTTAATGCTATAGCTATTCAAAACATCCTTTTCTACAGGAATATTTACAGTTCTTTGTCATGACTCATAAAGCCACTGTTGTTTTTGTTAGGTACTGTCAAGTAGTTTTCAACTCATACTGACCCCACGTAATAGAGTAAAACTGCCCTATAGAATTTTCTTGGCTATACTCTTAGAAGCAGATCACTAGGTCTTTCTCCAGTGGAGCCACTGGATGGGTTTGAACAGCCATGAGGTTAGCAGCTAAGCACTTGTAAAATGGTGGGGGTAGTAATATAGCATCAGAACCTGTCTAAATTCACAAAGGGGAATGATGAGACTTACCATCAACCCAAAGCTATTCCCCATGAGGTGGAGGTCAGGCATACCTCCACTCTCTAACCTTTTTACTAACTCTGACACCAACTGTCCCTCCCATGGCACTCTCTACTTCCCTTCTGGGTTTGATAATCCATTGTTATGGCCACACAGAACTCCCAGACCATACTTAACAGTTAAGTTGTTTATTAAGGAAGAGAGTACAACTTGGGATCAGGATCAGCAGGCTACAACTTGGAATCAGGATCAGGAAGCGTGTAGGCAAAGTCTCCCTTTTTCAGTGCAGGACAACTCTCTCAGCTCCTCTTAGCTGTGCAGGCCTCCACTTGGCCCTGAAGACAGGTTCCTCATGATATCTTGAGGACAGACTTCTCAGCCCCCTCAGAACAGGCCTGCCTTTGGCCCCCTGAGGACAGGCCTTCTGTGCAGTGCCCCTTCCAGGCCTGTCACTGCCGGCTCTGCTGCAGGGCCCCTTTGGGGCTGTTGCTATCTTCAGTGTTATAGCCCTTCACCTATTTTACAGCTGTTTTAGGAGGTTCCTTGCCTTCTCCCTCTCTGCTGCTTCTCTCTTTTTTTCTCCTTTCTGCTTCTTCCTGCTTCCAGTTTGAAAAACTTCTGTGGGGTTGGCTGCATATATATACAAATGCCTCTTCATCAGTTTCAAGGCATGGCCCTCACACCAGGGCTATGAACTGACTAGTGCCCTCTCAGTAAGCCACAGATACTTCATTTGCATAGTCTGTAGTTACTTCATTTATATAGTATGTTGACCAAACCTGGTAAGGTGTATACTAATCACAGGGCAGGCTGCAGCCCAGGACCAGACAAAAAGTATCAAACCACAAGCTGTTTAAAGTTTACCCAGGAAATGGCAATCAACCTGGATAAAAGTAATAGACCCTCTGGGGTAGGATACTAGGGCAAAGGTAACTCCTCAGTGTGAAGGGGAATATCTCAAGCTGTTTTTTCAAAGAGCCAAGGCAAAAGTCCACATAAAGGGACTCCTTTCACCACAACACTTAACTGTTTGCACCACTAGGGCTCCTTTTAAAGCTACTGCAGAACTTATTTGACTCTTCAGCAGTTGCCCTTTACTACTATTCTTGAGCGACAAACAGAAAGCATAAAGTGTTCTGCAAAAAGAAAATAAGTGGGTAGTCGCTGACATAATGCATCATCGTTACAGTTAAATGGAATTTTCAACCCCACACATAGTTATAAAGAGCCTGTAGTCTAAGACCTGGTACTGAGTAGGTACCTCAATAAATGATAGTTCTCTTTTTTTCTCCTCCACGTGTAGCTAATGCTGTGCTAAGGATTTAGAAAATCAAGCTTATCTGACACAATTTAATGTTCTAAAAATTTATTAATGTTCCCACAGATGAAAAGAATTGAAGAATTGATAACTAAAAATCATAATCAAGAAGAAATAACTAGTCTTCGTTGTCAGAAATGTAGAAAATGTATAGCAAGTTCTGATTGTTTCATGAAATACCTTGAGAATCAAGTCAGTAAGGTGAGTACTACTAACTCCAATCTTTAATTTCCTAGTATAGGAGTGGTGTAGATACACCCACGCTTATACATACATCCCCTCCACACTTGATTGTTCTCTTACCTTCTTTTACCTGACCCACTGAAAACATCCTGAAATAGTATTCAAAAGCCATCATACCTTCCACAGTTACAAAATTAAATTTGTGATTAATAGCATTAACATGAGCTTCAAGTTTTGAGTACAGTATCATAGACATAAGTTGAATAGTCCATGTTTTTTTACTCCCACCATGAGTGCACCTTACTGATAACCACACAGTTAAATTCAGAATCCTATTAAGAAATGGAAAACATATTAAATAGGAACTTTTTTTCCCTAGTACTCAAATAAAGGGCCTAGAAGAGAAAGTTCACATATAATTTAAAAATCAGAAACTCATAGAAAAACCTGAATAATACTGTCTTAGTTATCCAGTGCTGCTATAACAGAAATACTGCAGTGGATGGCTTTAACAATCAGAAATATATTCTCTCACAGTCTAGGAGACTAGAAGTCCAAATTCAGGGTGCCATCTCCAGGGGAAGGCTTTCTCTCTCTGTCGACTCTGGAGGAAGGTCCTTGTCATCAATCTTCCCCTGGTCTAGGAGCTTCTCAGCGCAGGGACCCCAGGTTCAAAGGATACGCTTTGCTCCTGGCACTGCTTTCTTGGTGGTAGGAGGTTCCCCTGTGTCTCTGCTTGCTTCTCTCTTTCATATCTCAAAAGAGATTGATTAAAGATACAACCTAATCTTGTAGATTGAGTCCTGCTTCATTAACATAACTGCCTCTAATCTTGCCCATTAACATCATAGAGGATTTATAGCACATAGGAAAATCACATCAGATGACAGAATGGTGGACAGTCACACCATACTGGGAATCATGGCCTAGCCAAGTTGACACACATTTTGGGGGGACACAATTCAATCCATAACATTCCACCCTTTTACCCCCTAAAATTCATGTCTTTGCCACATGTAAAACATATTTACCCTGTCATATCAAAACAAAAGTCTTATTTCAATTCCAAGTCCAAAATCCAAAAGTTCCTCTTCATCTGTGAAAACTAGAATACAAGTTATCTGCTTCCAAAGTACAATGGTGGAACAGGCACAGGCTAGACATTTCCATTACAAGTGGGAGAAATTGGAGGGAAAGAAGGGATAACAGGCACCAAGCACGTCAGCAGCACACATTACATTAGCTCTCAAGGCTTGAAAATAATTCTGTGTTCTCTGAGACCATTTAGGCAATGGCCCTGCTCTCCAGACTCTGGGTGTTGGCCACACCCTCCAGATTCTGGGTGGAGGTCCCACTGGGACGGCAACTCTGCTCCCTCGAGTGGCGACTCCACGACCTTAGCCCCAGCAGACTCCGTTCTTCTGCCCCTTGGGTATGGTAGCCCCACTTACTCCGCTTTGGGCAGCAGATCTGGCCCCATCCCGTTGGCACTTGTGAACAGCAGCCCCACACTCCAGAACCGAGTTGGTGAAGATAGGACTCTTTGAAACCTAGAAGGTCAAGGCTCCACCCTTTGAGACCCTAGAGGTCGTGACCCTACCCTTTAAGTTTGAGGCAGCTCTGCTTCCTGTGTTCCTTGTCTCTTCAGCTTCTGTTCCTGGTTACTTGACCTCTTGCCCCTCAGGCCTCGCCTCCTGCATCTGCCCTACTGGTGCAAGCATTCCAAAACTCTTTAGCTCCACCAGTACGTGCCTGGAGGCACCCCACTCTGCCAGTAAACTTAGGTCAGATGGCACTCAACTCTCTTGCTCCATGGGTCAGCAAGCCTAGCTCCATCAATAAGTGCCCAGGGGCACCTCCCTCTGCCAGGAAACCTTCTGTGCAAAGACACTCAGCTCCCTCACTCTGTGGGTTGGTTCCAGTGCCACCTTGCGCTGATCTCCTGGTTCTGCTGCTGCATCTTGCTGTCTGCGCTGTCTCTGGTGTAACAGCTCTCCTCATTTCCTTCTGAGTCCTCATCAGGATTGTCTTTGCTGTTCATAATTCCACCAACAGTCTCTTCAAGGCAGTCTAGGCTTTTACTATTAGGCACTTTAAAACTCTTCCAACCGCTATCCATTCACAGTTTCAAAACTGCTTCTACATTTTAGGTGTCTGTTAGAGCAGCACACCACTCTTCTGGTACCAAATTCTGTGTTAGTTATCTAGTGCTGCTGTAACAGAAATACAATAAGTGGGTGGCTCTAACAATCAAGAAATTTATTCTCTTACTGTCTAGTAGGCTAGAAGTTTGAATTTAGGGACCAGCTCCAGGGGAAGGCTTCGTCTGTTGACTCTGGAGGAAGGTCCCTGTCATCAATCTTCCCCTGGTTTAGGAGCTTCTCAGTGCAGGGACCCCGGGTCCAGAGGACATGCTCTGCTCCTGGCGCTACTTTTTTGGTGGTATGAGGTCCCCTGTCTCTCTGCTTGCTTCTTTCTTTTATATCTCAGAAGAAATTGACTCAAGATACAACCTAATCTTGTAGATTGAGTCTTGCCTCATTAACATCATAGCGGTAGGATTTACAACACCGAGGACAATCACATCAGATGACAAAATAGTGGTCAGTCACTCAATACTGGTAATCATGGCCTAGCCAAGTTGACAGACATTTTAGGGGGACACAATTCAATCCATAACAAATATTTAAAAGCATTTTCTTGCTCATCCTGGTTAAATAATTTTTTTTTTTTTTAAAGAAAAAATAAACAAGACCCTTAAACCTCTTTAAAAGCAGTATCCGGCAGATAAGGTACAAACTAGATAGTAATCTGTGAACTTTGCAGGGAATTCTAAATTCAACATGTTTTCTTCTCCTTCAGCAAACGACAGTGTTTTTGCCTCAGCCACTCTTGATCATTATTATTTCCTCTCCGCTCTAAGAAATTAGCCGTCTTGAATAGTAGGTAACTTTTATTGCATACTTATTACATGCCAAAAATTCTCACATCTGGACCAGTAAGCAACATCATGATAAACAGAGAAAAGATTGAAGTTGTCAAGGATTTCATTTTACTCAAAGCCACAGTCAACATCCATGGAAGCAGCAGTCAAGAAATCAAACGATGCATTGCACTGGGCAAATCTGCTGCAAAAGACCTTTTCAAAGTGTTAAAAAGTAAAGATACCACTCTGAGGGCTAAGGTGCACCTGACCCAAGCCATGGTGTTTTCAGACGTCTCATATGCATGCTAAACTGGACAATGAATAAGGAAGATCAAAGAAGAATTGATGCTGCTGAATTACAGTGTTGGCGAAGAGTATTGAAAATACCGTGGATTGCCAGAAGAACAAATAAGTCTGTCTTGGAAGAAGTATACCCAGAGTGCTCCTTGGAAGCAAGGATGGCGAGACTTCGTCTCACATACTTTGGACATGTTATCAGAAGGGACCAGTCCCTGGAGAAGAACATCGTGCTTGCTAAAATAGAGGGTCAGTGAAAAAAAGGAAGGCCCTCAATGAGATGGATTGACACAGTGGCTGCAACAGTGGACTCAAGCGTAACAACTCTTAGGAGGATGGCGCAGGACCGGGCAGTGTTTCATTCTGTTGTACATAGGGTCGCTGTGAGTTGGAACTGACTCGATGACACCTAACAGCAACAACAGACTTAAAAAAAAAAAAAAACTGGCATAGCTTTTTAATTGAAAAAAAAATTATGCTAAAAATTATTGGGTATAATTTACACAGAATAAACAAACAAGCAAAAAAAAAAAGACCAGCTACTATACGTCTAGTGGTCCCACCCCATCTGGAGTAAGGGAGAATGAAGAAAACCAAAGACACAGGAAAGATTAGCCCAGAGGACTCATGGACCACAACTACCACAGCTTCTACCAGACTGAGTCCAGCACAAGTACATGGTGCCCGGTTACCACCAACAACTGCTCTGACAGAGATCAAAATAGAGGCTCCTGGAGAAAAATGCTGAACAAAATTGAAACTCAGAAAAAACAACCAGACTTACTGGTCTGATAGAGACTGGAGAAACCCCGAGAGTATGGCCCCTGGACACCCTTTTAACTCAGTACTGAAGTCACTCCTGAGGTTCACCCTTTAGCCAAAGATTAGTCAGGCCTATAAGACAATAACGCATGTAGTTCAGCCATTTACGTGAGATTAAATGGGCACACCAGCCCAGAGCCAAGGACGAGAAGGCAGGAGGGGACAGGAAAGCTGGACGAATGGAATTGGGGACCCTGAGGTCGAGAAGGAAAGAGTGTGGACAGATCGCGGGGTTGGCAACCAGTGTCACAAAACAGTATGTGTATTAATTGTTTAATGAGAAGCTAATTTGTAATCTTTCTCCTAAAGTGCAATATAAATAAATAAATAAAGGAGCCCTGGTGGCACAGTGGTTAAGTGCTTGCTTGCTAACCAAAAGATTGGCAGTTCGAGCGCACCAGCCACTCTGTGGGAGAGAGATGTGGCAGTCTGTTGCCATAAAGATTACAGCCTTGGAAACCCTGTGGGACAGTTCTGCTATGTCCTATAGTGTTGCTATGAGCAGAATTGACTGGATGGCAATGGGTTTTGGGTTTTTGGGTAAACAAAAATAAAATGTACAGCCAAATAAATTTTATCAGTCTTGTTGCATACCAGATCTAAATATTCAGCATTTTTAACACCCTAGAAAGTTCTCTTTTATCCTTTCCCAGGTAATACCTTCACTTTCACACCAAAAGAGAAAACCAAACCCATTGCCATCAAATCAATTCCAACTCACAGCAACCCTATAAGACAGGGTAGAACTTCCCAATAGGGTTTCCAAAGAGTGGCTGGTGGATTTGAACGGCTGACCTTTTGGTTCCCAGTCAAGCTCCTAACCACTGTGCCACCAGGGCTCCTTTTACTTTCACAAGGCAGCCACTATTCTGTTGTCTGTCGCCATAAACTGATTTTTCTTGTTCTTGACCGTCATTCAAATGGAATCATGTAGCATGCAGTCTTTTGTGCCTGACCTATTGTGCTCAACATA